AGAAAAGAATTATGTCTTCAAAATGCTGAGAAATACACCTGTCAATTCATAACTGAACTTCCCCAGCTGACATGGTCTGGCATAATGAATTGCAGGTGTAGCGTGGATGTTGTATTTTACTGGGAGTTATAAAAACAACTATAACACCAACAAAGTATAAAAGAGCAGTAAAGGCAGTGAAACTTGAGATGTAACAACCTTAGGATGTAAGTGGAAGAGAACAAAGTTATATAGAAATGAAGTTAGAAGTAACACTTGTGAAAACAATAGAGAAGAAGAAACAAGATGGGAAATACAATTTAAAGGATGAGGGAAATAGGATATATGTGCAGAAAAGGGACAATATAATATGCATAATTGGTGTCTTACAGCAGAAATTCTAGTTCGGATCAACGTTTATTGTTGTTGTGCAGTACTGGGGCTTGAATTCAGGGCCTTGCACATCCTAGAGCTGAACTGTGCTTCCAGCCTAGGTCTTTTTAATTTTTTTATTATTGTTGACATTGAAGCTTTTTTTTTTCCTTGGTACTGGGAATCAAACTCAGGACCTTGCACTTGCCAGTCAGGTGCGGCACTGTTGAGCTATATCCCCAGCTCCCCTAGGTCATTTTTTTAAAGGTGTAAAATAAGGACATTTTTAGAAATAATAGGAAATTTAAATATGTCATTTGAAAGGACATGCTGAATCTCTTGAAGTGCATATCTAATGTTTGTATAGAGACAGCAGTCACATGCATCAGTAAAGCTATGACTTTTTGTGAGCCAGGTCAAAGGATCAAGTCACTTGGACAATAACATTCACACAACAAATTTAGAACCAAATAAATAAGGACAGTATCCATAATTTCCTCAATTATACCATTCATCTCTACCAAAAGAATGTTAACAAATGTTTTGAACACTTGAATTTGGAGACTGTTTTTTTTATTTCTTCAGAGAATTTAAGACTCTTCAGTCTTCATTAACCATCAAAGAGAAGGAAAAACTAAAACAAGAGCTATTGGTTTTGTGAATTTGCAAAAATTAGGGAATAGAAAACCAGTAATTTAAGAATATATTGATTTTTTAAATTTCATTTATTAGAGTAAGGACCAGACAATGTCGTTTAAAATTGATAAACTGATAAACATGCAAAAAATTAGTATATTGTACCTGGATTGTGAAGTAGGGAAAGGCAAAGAGTATATTTTATCACTGCTAATGGTACAGAGTCAGCAAAAAAAAATTTTTTTTTTTTTTGGGTACCGGGGACCTGACTCAGGATCTGGCGCTTGCAAAGCAGGTGGCGGAACCACTGAGCTAAATCCCCAGCCCCAGTGTCAGCAAATATGGAATGCCAAGGATATTATGTTATTTTGTGTCTCCCTAGAACAGAAATATATATCTTCCAGAGTTTTAGATGAAACAGTTTAAAAAACACACATTCCATATAATAAAACGTTTATATTTAGGCTATGAAAGATCACAGTGTAACCAAATATGAGGTGTAATAGATTACAAAAATTGCTTTAACAAAATACCACAGACTGAGTGGCTTGCATAACAAAATTTTTCTCACAGTTCAGGAGACTGGGACTGGAAGTATAACATAAAGTTGCTGTCAGGATTGGGTTTTAATGACATCTCTCTTCATGGCTTATAGATGGCTACCTTCTTGTTGTTTCCTCACGTAGCCTTTGTTCCTTGTGTGTACAGAGTGGATGATGGTAGATAGATCTCTCTTGCTCATTTTATAAAAGCACACCAGTTGTATGGGATTATAGTCTCACCTGTATGACCACTTTTGGCCTTAATTACCCCCTTAAAGATTCTGTTTACAGATACAGTCATAATCAGGGTAAAAGCTTAAATTGGTTTAATTTGGTTGTGGTTAGGAGGAGGGCACAGTTCAATTCATAACAAGTGGATACTCAAAAATTAAATATAAAGTAAACTAACACTGTAAGTAAAAATGAATTTTCTCTGATCACAGTGCAGTAAAACTAGAAATTAAATTAAAAGACTCTACTTTTCAGAAATTTGCAAAACCTCAGGATTTCTGGAAAATAAAACAAATCTTGGTTTTGAGTGTAGCTATAAAAAGGGAAGATATAGTACTGCTAGGAATGCTGCCTCCCTAGAGTACTGAGATAACGGGTGTGTGCACTATACCTGGCCTAAAGGGATGTTTCAGTACATTATCTTCCTTAGTGCTTATTACATAGTACACACTCTTAAAACAATACCTCTTTCTACTACTTGTCATTTTAAAGTTTCTTACAAATGTAAAAGGATATCACCAGTAACAAATACAGTTTTCAAAATCATACATACACAAATAAAATCAGTAGTATATGAGATTATCAAAAGCCATTTTCCTCTTGGGCAAAATGTTAAAATCCAATGCAAATGGAGAAATAGTTTCTTTTATTTTGTATCAGTCAAGTGTTAGGTGTATTGTGCTCCAAAATAGTTTCCACATAACTGAAACATGTTCATCAGAAACTGACCAGAAAGAAGTGAAATTGCTTGAGACAATAGGTTAAATATTTTATCGGAATTCAAATGTATGAAAAGCTATCAGGAAAAAGAGAAACTAAGCTTACTCTATATGACTTGAGAAAATGAGACAATATTGAAAACTGTGAAGAGTATGTTTTATTTACTATTAGAAATAACTTTTTTTTTCTACCATTTCCCCCTTTTTTTTGGTCTTTGGATCGTACTTGAGATTGAACCTAGGGTCTTATGCATGCTAGGCAAGCGCTTTGTGCCTGAGCTACAGTCTCCAGCCTAAGAACTTTATTTTTCTCTTTTCTGTTTTTGTTTTGTTCTATCATTTTTTTGATATGGAATCTCACCGCGTATTCTAGGCTGGATCAAAATGATCAGCCTCCCAAGGGCTGAAATTACAGGCATGTGTCAACACACCTGGCTAAGAACTTTCTTTCTTAGGGAACAGGTTTTATTATAGGAAACCAAACAAAAAAGTAGAGTGACTAGTACAAAGTAGAGAGAACCATCAGCAGGATCATATTTTTTATTTCTTATCTATGGAAATGGTCAGTGCTAACAGGAGCTCTGTTTGGCTTTAGTGGAAAATGATATTAGAGACCACAGTCTTGAGTGTTAGAGGCATTTATTGTTACTGGATTATCATTGTGTTTAGGCATTTCTTTTGATAGAGTGAATAGAGGCAAGAATATAGTCACAGTTCTAATTTGAATCTAAAAATTAAAAGGCTTTACATATCTGTATCCCCCCCCAAATTTTAGTTCCTAATGACATTCACAATTATTTGATCTATATGTCTACCAATTATATAATCTATCTTGGTTCAAAATAATTATATCTACCAACGTTGCCATAATATGCTATCTAGTTACAATTTAGGGTTTCTTTATGGGTATAATCTTTGGGGGGTTCTTAGTGCTCTGTTGTACAAATGTACATTGGTATGTTCAACCAGGCCCCTGTAGATAATCATTTGGATTGGTTCAGATTTCTGCTGTTAAAGTAGTGATGTGTTTCATAGCCTTGTAGGCATTATTTTTCCTGATGTATCTTGGAATAGATTTTTTAAATATGATTCCTGGTTCAAAAGCTGTAGTGTAAAGCATATAGACTCTTTCTAGTTATTACTGAATTTTCTAAGGAAGGTAATAGTTTATGTATAATATTTTTCCATACATGCTTGATTTGCTTTTGAGTCTTCTAACCTGTTCCATTGGTTCTTTTGTCTTTTCATGTGTTTGTCATTAAAATAGTATATGTGTGTGTGTTTTTCCCGGTGAACATTACAATCAATTTTTCTAATTCCTGAAATCTGATGGTTTTATTAAACTAGCATTACATTTATAAATTTACATAGGAAAATTTGTCCTCTTTTTATATTCCTAGGCACAGATGTGCATACCTTCACATTTCATTAAGTCTTTCATAAGAATTTTATAGTTAGGAAGAACTGTTGAGTAGTTATCCCAAAATAAAAGACTGTTATATGAAGTAGCCAATTCATTTGTAAAGTACACAGCAAAGATTCATGAATTAAGTAGCTATTTACAGTAAATAACTTGAAAGTTACTTCCAATCCTGGTCTTCTATAAAAATGTGCTCCTGGGCCGGGGATTTAGCTCAGTGGTTCCACCACCTGCCTCACAAGTGCAAGGACTCGAGTCTGATCCCTGGTACCAAAAAAAAAAAAAAGTGCTCCTAAGGAAATCAAAAAAGAAACATTTGGGCAGGGGATTTAGCTCAGTGGCACTGCACCTGCCTTGCAAGCTCAAGGTCCTGAGTTTGATCCCCGGTACCAAAAAAATTTTTGTTGTTTTTAGTTTTCCCACTTTGAGAACTGCTCATTCAAGACTATTAATTGAGAATGTGTTAAAGGAGTAAAGTAGGTCAGAGATTGTCCTACTTTTGTTTGAAGTCAATGAAAGAGATAGGAACTGAACTATTTGAAAGAGGTCCATAACTAAAAATCTCTCTTTTCAAAAACATATGCTTAAAGTGTATTTACTAGTCAGCCAAAAGTAAGGTGGAAATAGACTGTTAAATTTTCTGTTTAAAATAATGTCAAAGATTATAGAGATACTTCTAAAGATCCAGTTTAAAAAAAAAAAATATATATATATATATATATATATGGGTTTCTGTGATTGAAGGTCAATAAAGGTAGTATCTTGATAGCCTTTGATATAGTAGCAAATGAACTAACAGTGTAACATTAGTGTAATGCTAGTTTTGTAAAAAGCTCTGTTGCCTAGCCAGGCGTGGTGGCGCACACCTGTGATCCCAGCACTTAAGAGATTGAGGGAGGACAATTGCTGTGAGTTCAAGGCCAGCCTGGGCTATGTAGTGAATTCAAGTCCAGCCTGGGCTACATAGGGAGACCTTGTCTCCAAAAAAGAAAGCTCTGTTTCCTATATTATATATGATACATTATTAATTAGTTTGTTGGATCATAATGCTAAATCGAATATAAGAATTTCTCTGAAACCTTTTTCTTGTTCAAATTTTAGGACCCTTCAAAGTTGTACAAGAAAGCAGGTGATGTTGCAGCCATTGAATGCCAATCTGAAGAAAGCATCTATCTTCATTTACAGGGAGAAAATAATCTATCTAAGAAACTTTCTCCAGTACACTCAGAAATGGCAGATTACATTAATGCAACACCATCTACACTTGTTGGTAGCCGGGATCCTGATTTAAAGGACAGATCATTACTTAATGGAGGAACTAGTGTAACAGAAAAGTTGGCACAGCTCATTGCTACTTGTCCTCCTTCCAAGTCTTCCAAGACAAAACCGAAGAAGCTAGGAACTGGCGCTACAGCTGGATTGGTTAGCAAGGATTTGATCAGGAAAGCAGGCATAGGCTCTGTAGCTGGAATAATACATAAGGACTTAATTAAAAAACCAGCTATCAGCACAGGAGTTGGATTGGTAACTAAAGATCTTGGGAAAAAAACAGTGTTTAATGCAGCAGTAGGATTGGTCAATAAGGACACTGTGAAAAAACTGGGAGCTGGCACTACAGCGGTATTCATTAATAAAGACTTAGGCAAAAAGCCAGGGACTATCACTACAGTAGGACTGCTGAGCAAGGATACGGGAAAGAAGCTAGGAATTGGTATTGTTCCAGGTTTAGTGAATAAGGAGTCTGGCAAGAAGTTAGGACTTGGCACTGTGGTTGGATTGGTTAATAAAGACTTGGGGAAGAAATTGGGTTCTGCTGTTGGCCTAGTGGCCAAGGATTGTGGGAAGAAGATTGTTCCAAGTTCAGCAATGGGATTGGTTAATAAGGACATTGGAAAAAAACTAGTGAGTTGTCCTGTGGCGGGACTGGTCAGTAAAGATGCCATAAACCTTAAAGCTGAAGCACTGCTCCCCACTCAGGAACAACTGAAGGCTTCTTGTAGTACAACCATCAATAATCATGAAAGTCAAGATCTTTCTGAATCTCTGAAAGACAGTGCCACCAGCAAAACTTTTGAGAAGAATATTATACGGCAGAGTAAAGAAAACATATTGGAAAAGTTCTCAGTCCGAAAAGAAATCATTAATTTGGAGAAAGAAATGTTTAATGAAGGAACATGCATTCAGCAAGACAGTTTCTCATCCAGTGAAAGGGGATCTTTTGAAACCTCAAAGCATGAAAAGCAACCTCCCATATATTGCACTTCTCCAGACTTTCAAATGGGAGGTGCTTCTGATGCATCTACAGCTAAATCCCCTTTTAGTGCAGTAGGAGAAAGCAGTCTCCCTTCCCCATCACCTACCATATCTATTAATCCTTTAACAAGAAGTCCCCCTGAAACTTCTTCACAGTTGGCTCCTAATCCTTTACTTTTAAGTCCCACCACAGATCTAATGGAAGAAATTTCTGAATCTGTTGGAAAGAACCAGTTTACTTCTGAAAGTACCCACCTGAATGTCGGTCATAGGTCAATGGGTCATAGCATAAGTATTGAGTGTAAAGGAATTGATAAAGAGCTAAATGATTCAAAAACTACACATATTGATATTCCAAGAATAAGCTCTTCCCTAGGAAAAAAGCCAGGTTTGACTGAATCCAGTATTCATACAATTACTCCTTCAGTTGTGAACTTCACTAGTTTATTTAGCAACAAACCTTTTCTAAAACTTGGTGCAGTAACTGCATCAGACAAACACTGCCAAGTTGCTGAAAGCCTAAGCACTAGTTTGCAGTCCAAACCTTTAAAAAAAAGAAAAGGACGAAAACCTCGGTGGACTAAAGTGGTAGCAAGAAGCACATGTCGGTCTCCCAAAGGGCTAGAATTAGAAAGAGCAGAGCTTTTTAAAAATGTTTCATGTAGCTCACTATCAAATAGTAATTCTGAGCCAGCCAAGTATATGAAAAACATTGGATCATCTTCATTTGTCGATCATGACTTCCTTAAACGCCGATTGCCAAAGTTGAGCAAATCTGCAGCTCCTTCTCTCGCTCTCTTAACTGATAGTGATAAACCATCTCATAAGTCATTTGCTACCCACAAACTATCCTCCAGTATGTGTGTCTCTAGTGACTTTTTGTCTGATCTTTATAAGCCCAAAAGAGGAAGACCTAAATCTAAAGAGATGCCTCAACTAGAAGGTCCACCTAAAAGGACTTTAAAAATCCCTGCCTCCAAAGTTTTTTCTTTACAATCTAAGGAAGAGCAAGAGCCCCCAATTTTACAGCCAGAAATTGAAATTCCTTCCTTCAAACAAAGTCTTTCTGTATCTCCTTTTCCAAAAAAGAGAGGCAGACCTAAAAGGCAAATGAGGTCACCGGTCAAGATGAAGCCACCTGTACTATCAGTAGCTCCATTTGTTGCCGCTGAAAGTCCAAGCAAGCTAGAGTCTGAAAGTGAAAACCATAGAAGTGGCAGTGATTTCTTTGAGAGTGAAGATCAGCTTCAGGATCCAGATGATTTAGATGACAGTCATAGGCAAAATGTCTGTAGTATGAGTGACCTTGAGATGGAACCGGATAAAAAAATTACTAAGAGAAACAATGGACAATTAATGAAAACAATTATCCGCAAAATAAATAAAATGAAGACTTTAAAGAGAAAGAAACTGTTGAATCAGATACTTTCAAGTTCTGTAGAATCAAGTAATAAAGGGAAAGTGCAATCCAGACTCCATAATACAGTATCAAATCTTGCTGCCACATTTGGCTCTAAATTGGGCCAACAGATAAATGTCAGCAAGAAAGGAACCATTTACATAGGAAAGAGAAGGGGTCGCAAACCAAAAACTGTCTTAAATGGCATCCTTTCTGGTAGCCCTACTAGCCTTGCTGTTCTTGAGCAAACAGCTCAGCAGGCAGCTGGGTCTGCATTAGGACAGATCCTGCCCCCTTTATTGCCTTCATCTGCTAGTAGTTCTGAGATTCTTCCATCGCCTATTTGCTCACAGTCTTCTGGGACTAGTGGAGGTCAGAGCCCTGTAAGTAGCGATGCAGGCTTTGTCGAACCCAGCTCAGTGCCATATTTGCATTTACACTCTAGACCAGGCAGTATGATTCAGACCCTTGCGATGAAAAAGGCGTCAAAGGGGAGGAGGCGATTATCTCCTCCTACTTTGTTGCCGAATTCTCCTTCGCACTTGAGTGAACTCACATCTCTGAAAGAAGCTACTCCTTCTCCAATCAGTGAGTCTCATAGTGATGAGACCATTCCCAGTGATAGTGGAATTGGAACAGATAATAACAGCACATCAGATAGGGCAGAGAAATTTTGTGGACAAAAAAAGAGGAGGCATTCTTTTGAGCATGTTTCTCTGATGCCCCCTGAAACATCTACAGTCTTAAGCAGTTTTAAAGAAAAACATAAACACAAATGTAAGCGCAGGAGTCATGATTACCTCAGTTATGACAAGATGAAAAGGCAGAAACGAAAACGGAAAAAGAAATATCCCCAACTTCGAAATAGACAGGATCCAGACTTTATTGCAGAGCTGGAGGAACTAATAAGTCGTCTAAGTGAAATTCGGATCACTCACCGAAGTCATCATTTTATCCCCCGAGACCTTCTGCCAACTATTTTTCGAATCAATTTTAATAGTTTCTATACACATCCTTCTTTTCCTTTAGACCCTTTGCACTACATTCGAAAACCTGACTTAAAAAAGAAAAGAGGGAGGCCCCCTAAGATGAGGGAGGCAATGGCTGAAATGCCTTTTATGCACAGCCTTAGTTTTCCTCTTTCTAGTACTGGATTCTATCCCTCTTACAGCATGCCTTATTCTCCTTCACCCCTTACAGCTGCTCCTATAGGATTAGGTTACTATGGAAGATATCCTCCCACTCTTTATCCACCTCCTCCATCTCCATCTTTTACCACCCCACTTCCACCTCCTTCCTACATGCATGCTGGTCATTTACTTCTTAATCCCACTAAATACCATAAGAAAAAGCATAAGCTGCTTCGACAGGAGGCTTTCCTTACAACCAGCAGGACTCCTCTCCTTTCCATGAGTACTTACCCCAGTGTACCTCCTGAAATGGCCTACGGTTGGATGGTCGAGCACAAACATAGGCACCGTCACAAACACAGAGAACACCGTTCTTCTGAACAACCCCAGGTTTCCATGGACACTGGCTCTTCCAGATCAGTCCTGGAATCTTTGAAGCGCTATCGATTTGGAAAGGATACTGTTGGAGAGCGGTATAAGCATAAGGAAAAGCACCGGTGTCACATGTCCTGCCCTCATCTGTCTCCCTCAAAGAGCTTAATAAACAGAGAAGAGCAGTGGGTCCACCGAGAAGCTTCAGAATCTAGTCCATTAGCCTTGGGATTGCAGACACCTTTACAAATTGACTGTTCAGAAAGTTCTCCAAGTTTGTCCCTTGGAGGATTCACTCCTAACTCTGAGCCAGCCAGCAGCGATGAACATACAAACCTTTTCACAAGTGCAATAGGCAGCTGCAGAGTTTCAAACCCTAACTCCAGTGGCCGGAAGAAATTAACTGACAGCCCTGGACTCTTTTCTGCACAAGACACTTCACTAAATCGGCCTCACAGAAAGGAGCCACTGCCTTCCAGTGAAAGGGCAATACAGACGTTGACAGGTAAGAAGGTAACTTTGTTGTCTGTCATTTGTGTTACAGCAATAAGATTTATGTTCCCACTGGTTGTCTGATACATATTGTTGAAGTTTAAATAGATCTTCCTTTTTTTAGTTTTGTTTTTATAAATGTACTTCAAAATCTTTGAAGTTCAAATTTTCCTTAGATGTAAAAAGTACGGTGAAAAAAAAAAAAGAACGATAATGTCTTAACATTACTTAGCATTACTTTGGTGTTTGAGAAGAGTTCTCATTGTCAAAACAAAAACAATTTTTGGAATTCAGAAAAAACACTGTCTTTCTTGTGTAAAAAGATGTTATTAACCTTGTATATCTCATCATAAAAATCTAACCACTGAAAGATTTCAGCATTGTAAAATTTAATGAATATTTGGAAGGACTTCATTCAGCAGAATACCTTTAGGTATCTTCATAAAAGTTGCTTGAGTTGCCGGGGATTTAGCTCAGTGGTTCTGCCGCCTGCCTTGCAAGCGCAACGTCCCGAGTTTGATCCCTAGTACCAAAAATAAATAAATAAATAAAAGTTGCTTGAGCTAAATACAAAAACACATGGGCCGGGGATTTAGCTCAGTGGTTCCACTGCTTGCCTTGCAAGCGCAAGGACCCAAGTTTGATCCCCGGTACCAAAAAAGAAAAAAAAAACCACATGAAGCACATCTACATAATACATTTGTAACATCTGAAAGTGTCTTTGTAAAACTAAGATAGAAAACAAACAGCCTTCCCCATTCAAATAAAAAGTATACTTAAATTAGCAGTTGTTTTTCAGAGATCTCAACTCTTAAGGGTTTGTAAATTAGCCCTAGAAAGTCCACAAATCCTCTGCAGTTGTGATTAAAATTATATGTACGTGTGTTCACATGTATTTTTCTAGAGAAAATCCATACATTTCATCAGATTCTCTATCTAAACCTCAGTATCCTATCCTATACAGTAAGTCCCTGACTCATGAACAAGTTCTATTCTAGGAGAACATTCATAAGCTTGAATTTGTTCAGAAGTCTGACAAAGTGAGTCCTATGTCTGTGATACGAGTATACAATGTAAAGCATAAAAAACCAAACCTCCATGTCACCACTGCTTTCCTCTTGCTTCCAGACTTCCTGGGGTCTGAGCACTCTGCTACTGTGCACTAATGCACTGTACAGTGAGCACACAGCAGTGTCCAGCAGATATGTGAGCTGCTTCTGCAATTTGTTCACTTCCATATAATGTGAGGTTCTTTCATGTCTGTAAAAATTCACAACTCTAATGTCCTAAGTTGGAAACTTACTGTATAATGGGATCATCATAAGTGAATAGTATGATAGTGTTTAGCACATTGATTTGTACATAGTAACCACACTAATGTTAGTTATTATTCCTCTAAAAGATTAAAATCTTAATACATTAGGGGAAGAACCCCTCAGAGACAAGGAATTTTTATTCTGATTTTCTTTTCATGAACTTTTGAAAAATGAAGACTATATTAGTGCAGAAATTAAGTCTGTGTAGTTCTTAGCAATGTAAAGAGAAAAATTCTATAATGAGTTTCATTTTTTTTTTTACAAATATTTCATTAATGAGTTATTAAATATCAGGTATTTGCAAGGCATTCTACTTTGTGGGCCCTTATTATATAACAGGGAATAATATGTACACAGGTTCATTATTTCTGTGAAAATTTTAGTGGAAGAGATAGCTTAATTAAAAAATTCACTTTCAGGACCAGGGATTTAGCTCAGTGGTGCTGTGGCTGCCTTGCAAGTGCAGGGTCCTGAGTTCGATCATCGGTACCAAAAAAAAAAAAAAAAGAATTCTACTCATTCATTTAATTCGTTTGCTCGTACATTTATTGAATTTCAAAAACATCAGCACTTTCTAATCACTGGCTTATAGTAAAGACCTGATACTACCTCGTTCACTTTCAGTTTCGTGAAGGAAGACAAATACGTAGCAGAGTGGTAAGCCAATAAATAATAGCATGATTGAAGAAAATGCTGTGAAATTAATGTAATAGAATGCTGTGAAGTTAATACATCAGAATAAAGAAGTTTAAAAACAAAGGACAAAGAAAAGGGAATCTACGTGAAATTTTAAGTTATGATCAGGGGATAAAAAGTGGGACTTGAAGAATAAGAAGCAGTCGTGAAATACATGTGTTAAGAACCTGACCTGGGAAAGAAGCTTAGATATTAGATGAACTGGAAAAAGGTTCATTGTGGTAGAAGAGGGAATACAAAAGAGAGAATAGTAAGAGATGTGATGAAAGAAAGAAGCCAGACAGTATATTAAGGATTTTGGATTTTGTTCTAACAGCGGAAGAGCAGAATTCATGGTGGCACACACCTATAATCCCAGTACTGGGGGAGCAGCTGCAGGAGGATTGCTGCAAGTTTGAGGCCAGCCTGAAGTACAAAGTGAGACCCTTTCTTTCAAAAAAAAAAAGGAGTATTGAATATAGTCTTGCATTTTTAAAAGATCATATTGGTTCCTATGTGAACATTGGATTGGAAGGGATAAAAATGATAAGGAAACTAGTAAGGAATTGCAGTAATTTAAGATTGAACATTCAGTAGATTGGTGGTACTGTGCACTGAGACGGAGAAGACTGGAAAGGGAGCATATTTAGGGGAGCGCGTAAGTTTGCTTTCTAAAACATAAATTTTGTTTGTTTTGCTGTGGTGGAGGTTGAACCCAGGGTCTCACACATGCTAAGCAAGTCCTCTCTAACCTCTGAGCTATACTCCTAGGCCTCTAGTACATACGGCTTGAGGTACCTATAAGAAGGCTGGGGTGGAGTTACTCATCAGGCGTTGGATAGCTAGTTCTTGAGGCTCATTAGAAAAATCTTGGCTGGAGGTCAGATCATTTTGCTATGGGTTTTTGAAAACTTGTTTAGTAGTGTCATTCACTAAAAAAGGAAAGAGCTTCTGGGTAAGGTAGAGTTTGGCACTGACCCTTAAAACCTATGCAACTTTGTAAACAGAGCACTAAGAAAAATAATCATTCTAGAAAGAGCAACAGGAAGGCCAAGGATTTAGCTCAGTGGCACCGCCTCGCAAGCGCAAAGTCCTGAGTTTAGTCGCTGGTGTGTGTGTGGTGGGGGGAGGGTAGCAATAGGAAAATGGCAAGTTCGAGGCCAGCCTTGTCTAGACAGTGAGATCTAAGCTACCCTGGCTTAACATAGTGAGGCCTTGATTAAAGACCAAAAAAAAAAAGAAAAGAAAAAAGATTTTAAATTGCTTAAAATGAAAGAAATCATTATGAGTTAACTTTTTAGGAAAAGACTTCATAGATGGGCTAAAGCTGCTCAATTGTAGACACACAAGGATGTCATTAGCAGGATACTTTTAACAGTGCTGGTTCTGGTTTGTTGTCCTTTGTTTGATAAAGTTTGTGATAAACCACACAGTAAACACTTGAAGGAAGGCCTATGGAAGAAAGTGAAATGAATAGACATTTTGAACAGAATTGCATTACTCCTGGCCTTTTTGCATTTAGTTTTGTGTTGGTGTATACTCTGCTCAACTGCTAAGTTGGTGTTGGAAAACTGTGTACTTTGAAAAATAATGTGTGATCTAATGCAACTTTATTATCTTGGTAATACTCTTTATCAATGATGTATGAGTTATTTCACTACAGAGAAATACATTAAAAAACATACTGTACATGTGTGTATCACAAATGTATAATCATGAAAGTGATGAGATTACCCTAAGGAGAATCTGGACATTTTTGCATAAAAATTTAGAACTCTGAGCCAGACATGGTGGTGCATACCTGTAATCCTGGTACTTGGGAGGCTGAGGCAGGAGGATCACTGGAAGTCAAGGCCAGCCTGGGCACAGAGTGAGTTCAAGACCGGTCTGAACTATGTGGCAAGACCCTGTCTCAAAAACAACAACAAAAAAAGAACAGGCATGGTGGAGGCATGGTGGTACATGTTTGTAATCCCAGCACTCTGGGAGGCTAGTGTAGGAGAATCCGAAGTTTAAAACTAGCCTGGGCAATTTATTGACTTAGCAAGACCCTGGCCCCGACAACAACAAACAACAACAACAAAAAAAGGAGAGGGACTGGGATATAGCTTGGTGTATATACTGTGGGGTCAGTCTCCAGTACCACCAAAAAATAGCACTCATAGTCATATTTCCTGGATCTGACAGGGTCCCTTTAGTTGGTGCCTGCTTTTTTCTGTTTGCCGCAGTCCTCACAGTTTTCTGTTGTGTGATGTGTCTGGCCTTTTTTATCAGGAATAAGTGAGTTTGAGAAGAAGTTGATAAAGAATGGGGAAATTAAGGTGAAGATGATGTGAGAGATCAGGTTAGGTTGTTGAATGTATCATCTACATAGACACTGAAATCACCCAAGAGAGCACTTGGGGTGAAATGATGAAGGTGAACCTGGATTAAGGGGTCTCAAGGCACAAGCGAGGTAACAGGGAAATCTAACATGCAGAAGTGTCTGATTTATAATCCCAGTACTCTGGAGACTGGGACAGGATGATTGCCTTGAGTTTAAGGCTAACATAGGCCACATAGTGAGTTCAAGACCAGCCTGGGCTACACAAAGAGACCCTGTCTCAAAAAAAAAAAACCAAAAAAAACGGAGAAAAAGAAATGTCTGCCTCAAGAATAAGAGTTGTTCTTTTCTTTTTTTCTTAAAAAAAAAAAAGGGCCGGGGATTTAGCTCAGTGGTTCTGCTGCCTGCCTCGAAAGCACAAGGACCCAAGTTCGATCCCTGGTACCAAAAAAAAAAAAAAGCACAGACCTCAGTGAAGGCTAAAAGTTTTTGCAGCCTCTAGGTCCTTCAGTCTTAGGGCTAAGAGTTACCAGTGGTGGGGATGGGAGAATATTCTTAATCTCACTTTCTGTGTCCACCTTTCCTTTCCTACTGAGAATGAAGGTAGAGCTGTCTCTCAGGTACAACTTTGGGAGATTAGCCATTTCTTAGAGGGGCAAGCCTGAGGCCTCACACCCTGCCCTGTAGTTTGACACAGCT